GGTGGCGGGCAAGAAGCCCAAGCAGGCCAAACCCGCGAGCGTGCCGGCCGGCTCTGGTGCGGGGGCCGGGGTGAAGCAGGCAGCGGCGGCGGGTGTCTGTTTCAAGTGCATTAAGCCTGGGCACTTCGCCAAAGAGTGCAAGGAGAAGTAACGGGGTGTAGTGTGGTGCGGGTGTGAGAGGTAATTCGCAGCCCGTGGGCCCGGGAAGGTCGTGGTGGTTTGGAGCCGACGCGGGTGTTAACTCGCGAGTCGGGGCCCGGAGAGGCCGGGGGGGTAACAGCCCCGTGGTGTTTTGGAGCCGACACGAGTGTTAACTCGCGGGTCAGGGCCCGGAGAGGCCGGGGGCAGCGGCCCCATAGCGTGGAAGCGTGTTGTTGACGTTCCTTGTGGCTGTAGCCTTGTGTGGGGTTGGGTGGCTAAGGGCACGGCCGCCCCCTCCGCGATTATTGAAGTTTCGTGGTAGTGTGCCCTCACCCGGCCCTACCCTTTCACGAAGACGTTCTTTCCTTGCGTGCAGGTACTTGTTTGTAACGTAGTCTTCGCATGAAAACTGATAGTTTTCTACGGTTTTCTGCGAATACGGAGTGTCTTTGCCGTATGGCGTACGAGCCAGTGTGGCTCTTGTGTCGCGGCACACGACAGTGTTGGCTAATTCGGGTTGTTCGTAGCTACGTTTGGGTGCTGCCGTGAAGCGGTTGGTCTGTAGGCCTTGGTGATCCGCTTCGTGGTAGTGTGCCCTCAATTACAATGTCCGATTCTGACAGCGAGACTTCGGTCAGCTACAACACGATGTACACCGAACTAAAAGCGCGACTAGTCGCACTTAAGGAAAATAAAGATGACAAGGCTGCGCAGGAGCGTCGAACCGCTGACCCGGGCGTAATTTTGAACAAGCAGCAGCTGGCTGCCATGGACCAGCTGAACGCCGTGAAGCTGCAGCTGACAACCATTAAGAAGCTTATGGACACGAAGCCTGACGTGCAGGCGGTCGACGGTCCACCGGTGAAGCGGGCCCGTGTCGCCCTTGAGGATTTCAAATGTGACTTCGGCGCCAGCGAGGGCAAAGCGAACAAGTCTCTCAGCGGACAGCGCGCGCATATCGAGAAATGCTACAATGCGGTAATGGACATTGAGGACGCGTGGCGCAACGTCCTCGCGGCTCGGCCCGGCGAGGAACGCTTCAGGAACATCGAGGCCATGGAGACTGCCATCACCGACGGCAAGGCCGTGTTCCGGGGGGTCGCGAAGGAGCTGGTCGTTGCATACAACCACGGCTGGGAGGTCGTGCATGAGATGCGTGGCATGGCGTACGCGGAGACGGAGGAGGAGCGCAAGGCGCTGAAGCAGGCCGTGAAGGCGGTGGCGGGCAAGAAGCCCAAGCAGGCCAAACCCGCGAGCGTGCCGGCCGGCTCTGGTGCGGGGGCCGGGGTGAAGCAGGCAGCGGCGGCGGGTGTCTGTTTCAAGTGCATTAAGCCTGGGCACTTCGCCAAAGAGTGCAAGGAGAAGTAACGGGGTGTAGTGTGGTGCGGGTGTGAGAGGTAATTCGCAGCCCGTGGGCCCGGGAAGGTCGTGGTGGTTTGGAGCCGACGCGGGTGTTAACTCGCGAGTCGGGGCCCGGAGAGGCCGGGGGGGTAACAGCCCCGTGGTGTTTTGGAGCCGACACGAGTGTTAACTCGCGGGTCAGGGCCCGGAGAGGCCGGGGGCAGCGGCCCCATAGCGTGGAAGCGTGTTGTTGACGTTCCTTGTGGCTGTAGCCTTGTGTGGGGTTGGGTGGCTAAGGGCACGGCCGCCCCCTCCGCGATTATTGAAGTTTCGTGGTAGTGTGCCCTCACCCGGCCCTACCCTTTCACGAAGACGTTCTTTCCTTGCGTGCAGGTACTTGTTTGTAACGTAGTCTTCGCATGAAAACTGATAGTTTTCTACGGTTTTCTGCGAATACGGAGTGTCTTTGCCGTATGGCGTACGAGCCAGTGTGGCTCTTGTGTCGCGGCACACGACAGTGTTGGCTAATTCGGGTTGTTCGTAGCTACGTTTGGGTGCTGCCGTGAAGCGGTTGGTCTGTAGGCCTTGGTGATCCGCTTCGTGGTAGTGTGCCCTCAACCCGGCCCTACCCTTTCACGAAGACGTTCTTTCCTTGCATGCAGGTACTT